TAGATGTGTAGTCCTACTTTCATAATTTCTACATATAAAGCACATAAGAAGATTCATTTTCCACTTGCATCTAGAATGCATACCCATATTTAAAGGTGACTACCAAGACATCAAAAATGAATCTAAAAGACATGCCTCATTAGCATTACTGATGTTGTTATATATATTAAAAATGAAAACAGCCTAGATGATCACAAAAATCATTGACCAAATAAGAATTTGGGTCTGCCAGGAAAAATACTGAATGAGGCAATTTGACTGTCTGAGCAAAGGCCAAGGTCAAAGTTGAATACAGATTTTAGCCAAATAAGGACCAAAACCAAACTTCAAATATAACCTAGTGCCAGGTGATGCCTCACTTTTGATTAACTTTGTATTTATCTGAATACCAATGCAACTGAGCATTTCTTCTTGTCTTGCTAAGACGCTGAGCATTCACCATCTGTTCATCTCCTTTGCCTGTGCTTTTACTAGGTTCCTTGCCTTTTTCTTGCTGATTTGCAGGAATTCCTCGCCCCTTTCCGAAGGCTGATTTGTATTCCATTATGTATATAGACCACATAGTCCTTATCCATTCATCTGACGATGGACATTTAGATTGATTCTCTATCCCAGCTATCGTGAATAGTGGGGCAATCAACATGGAAGTGCAGATGTCTCTTTGGCATACTCATTTTAACACCTTTGGGTATATACCCAGAAGTGGGATTACTGGCTCCCATGGTAATTGTATTTTTAGTTTCCTGAGGAAATTCTGTTACTGAAATATGGTGCTCTTTCCTTACTTTATATCAGCTGCAAAGAAAGAACATCCACTTGTTGGTAAGGCATTCGGGTTTTTTATTCTTTGGCCAAAGAATGGAGAAGGGTGAGCTCGTGCTCTAAAGGTGCTCTCTCCCTGAGCAAAGGGAGGTGTGGGAGTTTTAAAGACACAGGAGTGTGGAGGTGCGTAAGTACAGGGTGAGGTCTGGATGTGGATACAGTTCATATACACGCTTCTTCATGTGCTGCATGTGCAGAAAATGGCAAAATTCCTCGCTGGGGAGGTGACTTTTAGTACTATAACGACATGTTCATGAGTTAAGGGTAACTGAAGGCCGCCTGCTCTGGTCTCACTAGCTGTGCACAGGTCTGGACTTCTGGGACTCTACAGGGAGTCACGTGGCTGTTCGTAGCATTTGGGCCATCTGGTGTCCTTGTGCAGCTATGTTTCTAGATAATGAATAC